GAGAGAGAGAGAGAGAGAGAGAGAGAGAGAGAGCAACGTTAATTAAATTAAAAATCTGTCAGAATTTTGTTCGTCCACTAAGCCATGGAAAAGAGTCTGACAAACAAAAAATGACAATAGCATAGAGTTCAAGCATAAAGAAAATCTGCTATAAGAATACACAGTAGACCTGTCTCCGAAGACGTACCTTGCTTTGCCAGATTCCCTGAATCCCTTCGCAAATGGATTACTTGCAATCTTCAGTGTTGTTATCTGTAATAAAGCAAAGCAATATGAAATAACAAGTTGACATAGGTATGAAAACAGTACGTTCATCTGGGATTGATTCTAATACTGATGAAGAAGACTCACCCCCCAACAAAACAAACAGACAAACAAAAGGAAAGTCCGAATATCCCTGTCTCGTCAATCGTCACCAGCAACTTACTGTTGCGTAGCTGATAGGCTATCCTGTCGCACGCAGAAGGCCTGAGTTTGATTCCGGAGTGAGATTAGTTTTTGTCGAGTACGATAATCTCTCTCAGTACAGTGAGCTAAGACTGAGAAGGTGTGTCTTGTCAGTCTGAATAGACTAATAGACCCTGACGTACAAGCTGTGCAAGAATCAAAACAATCGCTTAAATACTTGGTCTTCATTGCATCGATGGGGGCGTAAAACACAGAACAAATAATATTTGAGCGACAAAAATGACTTGGAAAGAAACGACACCCCCTCTACCATAACAATAACAAATAAATAGATTAAAAAGAACCTAAATGAATTACATAAAATAAAAATAAAGGGTTCAAAAATAAATCTAAACAGAGGAAAGTAAAAATTTTAAAACACCCCCCCCAAAAATTTTTTTAAAAAATTAAAAAATCGTAACACCCCAGCGACTCTGTAATCCAAAACGACAGACACAAAAAGTACAAACATGTATAGATGAATCCCACAAAGAGGATGCAAGAAAATATTCATGACCTCCTGGGTGGGCGGCGGAGATAACTAACTTTCTGTAATATAAAACTGCTCGCGACTCGTGTGTAGGTGTGCCAGATCACGAACTATAACTCTTTCAAAGGAAAGTGAAAACCCAGAGAGAGAGAGAGAGAGAGAGAGAGAGAGGGAGGGAGAGAGAGAGAGAAAGAGA